CCCCCTACTTACTCACATTGTCACTCACATTAGATAGCTTAAGATCTACGACGTCGACGTCAGCTATGACGTCAGGGCTAAGCAGAGGACTGGGACTACATTAGAACGACATCCTAGTGCCAGTCCTCTGCATAGCCTAACGTCCTAGCTGACGTCGACGTCGTAGATCTTAAGCTATCTATTGTATAAATCGGGCGAGGGTGATACGTGCATACTCACCCAAAAGCACAGCGTATCCAAGCTGGCAGAACATTACTGGATTTAGCATGAAGTCCGCGACAATAACACTATGTGGGCCACCTGTGATAAAGTCATAACACATCTTAATTTGCACTATACTACACGCGTGAAAATCTCACATCTTGTACCAAGTCTGCCAACAAGCCGTCAACAAGTTGTGTTCGCACTGCTTGTCCCAAGTTGTCAAAAAGTTTGGAACAAGCTGACAACAATTTGTAACAAGCTTGTTGATACTGTCAGACTTGTTGCAAGGTTGTTCTAGCAAGTGTGATACAGTCATGATATAACAATATTGTACAAGTTGATTAAACAGCTTGTAACAAGCTTGTTGATATTATATATATATATATCATGACCGTATCACAACCTTGTAACAAGTCTGATAATGCCAACAAGCTTGTCAAAAGTTGTTAACAGCTTGTTCAAAACTTGTTACAACAACTGGGAACAAGCAGTGCGAACACAACTTGTCGACAGCTTGTGAACAGCTTGTTCATGCATTTATATTGCAAATACGTAGTTTTCACTGCCGAGTGTCTCAGTGTCTATTAACTGTTTAACATATACGCAAATGTCAAAAATACATAAAAAATTACCGTGAGGAAATACAATAAGCGGACATTTGTGTCCCGAATCTATTTTTGGTTTCATTAGAATCCCTTCATAGTCTTGCCACGTTCCTACAATGTTCCAAAACACAGTATTATAATTCGTCAGGCCTTGATAGAGCTATCCAGTATAAATAAAGTTAACAGAGTTTAGTCAAGCGATTGCTAAAACACATGGGCGGATTTACTGGGAGGGGGGGGGGGGGGTTAGGGGGTTAACCCCCTCCCCCAAGAATCTCTTTAACCCCTCTTATAAAGTGTTCAAAAGCCCATCAAAATTTCGCCTCACCCCTTCTATTTTGTGTGAAAGTCTAATCCCCTGCCGAAGCTCGCTCAGTGCTGCCGCTTGCACTCCTCTAGAAATATTTCCACCCCTCCTTTTAGAAAAATGAAAATCCGTTCCTGCTAAAACAAGGAAATCATTGCCAAAATATGTTACCTACAAATAAAAGCTCAGTAGAAGCTGTTACCTTTTTCTGCATTTTCAGGAGTGAACACAACAACACTCCAGTCAATTTCTCTTTCCAATGAAATACCAGATTCCGCTAAAAAATTAAGCCAAAACAGAGTTAATGAAGAATTATTGCCAAAACAGAGTTAATGAGGAATTTAAAGAGAAATTCATACCTACTGTAAGCCAGTTTAATTCGCCAGAAACCTTACTAGATAGTTTTGCCAGCATCTGTACAAAAAAAAAATCAATAATATAAGAAAAGCTTAACATACACACGTAGAAACGCACAAGTTGTTCCAGGTCTGCAAACAAGTTGTTACAAATCTGTTCACAAGCTGTCGACAAGTTGTGTTCGCACTGCTTGTTCCCAGTTGTTGTAACAAGTTTGGAACAAGCTGTTAACAACTTGCAACAAGCTTGATGACATTATCAGACTTGTCACAAGGTTATTCTAACAAGTCTGATACAGTCGTGATATAACAAGAATGTTACAAGGTTGACGACACAAGTTTGTATTACAACAATATTGTTATATCATGACTGTATCGGACTTGTTGGAACAATCTTGCAACAAGTCTGATAATATCAACAAGCTTGTTACAAGCTATTTAAAGAACTTGTACAATATTGTTATATCATGACTGCATCAGACTTGTTGGAACAACCTTGCTACAAGTCTGATAATATCAACAAGCTTGTTACAAGCTGTTTAAACAACTTGTACACACGTAAAAACGCACAAGTTTGTTACAAGTCTCTTCACAAGCTGTTAACAAAATGTATTCGCACTGCTTGTCACAAGTTGTCAACAGGTTTGGAACAACTTGTTGACAACTTGTAACAACCTTGTCGAAATTATCAGACTTGTTGCAAGGTTGTTCTGACAAGTCTGTTACATGCTTGATATAACAAGATTGTTACAACCTTGTGTTGACAACCTTGTAACATCCTTGTCATATCATGACTGTAACAAACTTGTTGGCACAATCTTGTAACAAGGCTGATAATGCCATCAAGCTTGTCACAAGTTGTTAACAGCTTGTTCCAATCTTGTTACAACAACTGGGAACAAGCAGTGCGAACACAACTTGTTGACAGCTTGTGAACAGACTTGAAACAACTTGTTTGCAGACTTGTTACAAGCTGTGCGTTTTTACGCGTGTACAATATTGTTATATCATGACTGTATCAGACTTGTTGGAACAACCTTGCTACAAGTCTGATAATATCAACAAGCTTGTTACAAGCAGTTTAATCAACTTGTACAATATTGTTATATCATGACTGTATCAGACTTGCTGGAACAACCTTGCTACAAGTCTGATAATATCAACAAGCTTGTTACAAGCAGTTTAAAGAACTTGTACAATATTGTTATATCATGACTGTATCAGACTTGTTGGAACAACCTTGCAACAAGTCTGATATAATATCAACAAGCTTGTTACAAGCAGTTTAAAGAACTTGTACAATATTGTTATATCATGACTGTATCAGACTTGTTGGAACAATCTTGCTACAAGTCTGATAATATCAACAAGCTTGTTACAAGCTGTTTAATCAACTTGTACAATATTGTTATATCATGACTGTATCGGACTTGTTGGAACAACCTTGCAACAAGTCTGATAATATCAGGTTAACAAGTTGTTCCCTACTTGGGACAAGCAGTGCGAACACAACTTGTTGACTACTTGTTGGCAGACTTGCTACAAGATGCGAGATTTTTGTAATGTGTATTATATATTGTTGATGGAAACATACAAAAGATAGTTCAAACACACATCTCAAACTCATTCACAATTCATGAGTAAATTTGCCAACCATATGATAACACTGGATACCGGGTGAAGTTTGTTGATGCAGTCCTAGGACTAGATCAAAATTAATTCACCTTTAAGTAGTGATATATTCGTACGAGATGTCATTTCAAATCCTCCAAATTCGGACTGGATTAGATTTCAAGTCCTCCAATTTTGATTCAGTCCTCGGATTCGCCTCGGAATTCAAATTGCGCCTACTTGAAATCTAGTCCAGTCCTCATAGTCAAATATGAAATATAAACTATTACATACCAACTTTGGTGGACAGGCTGGAGACGCATGAGAAGCAAGAACACAATCTTTATGGACATCAAGAAGTGTCCAACATCCATTTCCTAACGGAGAATAAAAATATTTTTTATCAAGATTTATAATATCATTAATAAATCATATTTTTAAATATATTTACCAGAAGTTACTCTGTGCACGTTTCCAGTATTGCTGTCAATGATAATAATGTCCTAAAAATCGAACAAAAGTATAAACATTCCTTGGTGTAATGCATGACGATTTTACTGGTCAAGGGAAACGCTTGAACGTTAATGGGTTAACTAAAATATCTACAGACTTGTTACAAGTTGTTCCAACAACTTGTTATCGTCCTGCAATTCACCAATTTGTCAACAAGTTGTGAGTGACAACCTTGTAGCAACTTGATAAAATAACAGCATTGTTACAACTTGTTGACAAGCTTGCTACAAGCCTGTTGCGAACATATCTTGTTGACAAATTGTGAGATTTTTACGCGTGCATTTAAACACGTGACAATCTCACAACTTGTCAACAAGATGTGTTCGCAACAGGTTTGTAGCAAGCTTTTCAACAAGTTGTAACAATGCTGTTATTTTATCAAGTTGCTACAAGGTTGTCACTCACAACTTGTTGACAAATTGTTGAATTGCAGGACGATAACAAGTTGTTGGAACAACTTGTAACAAGTCTGTTGAGCTCAACAACCTTGTAGCAAGTTGTCAACAAGCTGGGAACAAGCAGTGCGAACACATCCTGTTGACAAGTTGTTGGAACAGCATTACTACAAGTCTGCTGCAGGTTTGTTGCAACTTGTGCGTTTTTACGCGTGTATATACATTATTATACTCAGGCTCTGTCTATAACTATGTTTGCCATTGCGAGGAAAAGCCCTTCGCTATTAATCTCCTGGGGCCGGTTGTATAAAAACGTAGTTAGCGCTAACTGTAGTTAGCGTTAATCACTGTAGTTAAATCCTTAACTGTAATTAGTTAACTACATGACTTAACTGCGTTGCACAAAACGTAGTTAGTCGGATAGTTAACTAATCACGTAGTTAACTCTGCGTGGGGCTTGCGTGGGGTGTTTAAACACAAAATTACATAAAGTAAGCAGCGAGTAACTAACGCTGACACACATTTTCAACATGATTGTGGACTCGTATTTTGCAAATAGGCGGGAATTTTATTCAAAACAGTGAAAAATAAACAAGAAAACAGGGAAAAACCGCCTCAAAAATCATAAAAGAATGCAGTTTTTCCTTGAGATGTCTACGGTAAACCAAGGTATAGCCGTTTTGCAATAATTTTTCAGTGTTTCTTGGTGTAATGGACCATACTTCGTCTTCGAGAAATCGTCCTGTGCAAAAATATGTTCTGTTTTCGTAAAAACACCAAAGCGATAGCGTTTGAAGAGTTTATATTGTCAGGAAACATTCACAGGGAAGATAGCGATTGAAAATCTCAGGTAAGCGTTGCTTTTCATTATTGTTTTACTGAAAAATGTTGTTCACTCCTATACAAACGCCATTTTTAACTACGTTTTGGACAGTTAACTCTAACTACACTTTTATACAACCGGCTTAACTACGTGATTAAAGTTAACTACTTTTTAAGGCTTTTTAACTACTTTTTAACTGCAGTTAGCGCTAAATACGTTTTTATACAACCGGCCCCTGGCGAAAGGATTTCAGTTAGTTGAGAACACAAACCACGGGCGTTTATGTCATACAAGCTGTTGTACCTTTGTAGAACGCCAAGCTGTGTCTAAAACTATCATAGACCCATCCTCAGACCAGATACGTTTCGCCATTCCTGAATAAATATAATAAATACACAAAATTTCAGCTCATGAATGCGACGTTGATGCATTAAGCTAATGAATAATGATAGTCTTATACTGTACATTGTACCTGCGGTAAAAAGTCCTGGGAACGCGGATTCTGAAAGTAGAAAAACATGAAGAATGAATTAGTTCTTCTCACGCTCGATTTATCCGCCATTTTTGGAGTACTGCCGGCCTGCAAATAATTATTTTACTTGGAAGGACAAACGTCTGGCAAAGCCAAAAATTGGTCGGGTATTTATCAATTTTTCCCACGGACAATGGACAATGGACAAAGTAAAAATTTTCATATTTTGTTTTGAAAATTAGCTCAATTCAATCATTGTTTCAGAACAGCAGGGAATCTCAAGTCTCCAGCTTTGACTTAAATTGAATCTATTAACCTTATTTAAATAGAACCATTCAACCCACTGCATTCCTTCAAACAACCGAAACTTTTAACTTCTTAGTATTTTGTCTTTTTCCAGAAATCATTTCTTATATCATCGACCACTAACATTTTCTAGCTGTCAAAATAAGCATAAACCAACATAGTTATTGAACTTTGCTATCAATTCTAAATGTTTCATAATAACACAACAGCAAGTTTGTTTGATAATTGCCATTGAAATGTTAAATAGTTTCAACCCCCCGAAACAGAAGCGATTTCAATGTGACGCAATGATACAAATATTACCTAACCCAAACAAATCATTCAGATGAATGCATTCCTACAAGCGAAACTGACAATTTCTATAAACGGTTTACAATATGGCTCTCGAAACAATATTAATTTCTGTCGGCATAAAAATTCTATCCTCTGCGGTGGGCTTACTGGTCGGCAAAGTTTACGACTATTTAACAAAGAAACCCGATTTATCGAATGAAGAATTGCGTCAAATAATTGTTCGAGATTTGAACGACATCAAGTCAAAACTCGATTGTATCTCGTTGAAAGATCTCGGTGCCAGTTATAGTTTCCTAAGAGAAGGAGTAAGAGTGTTAAATCTTGCTCTTGATAAGTGGAATGAAGATCAGAAAGCGAGCGAGGGTCCAACAGACGAAGCAACAAAAGTTATAAATGATACCGCATCTGGTATTTTGAACGCAGCCTTATCACTTCCCCAAGCGATTCAACGATTAAAAATCTCGTCCGATAAGCGGTTCGTTTCTGCTCAAGATCGTTTCAAAGAGTCTCGTAAGGCAGCCACATATGCATTCCACGACAAATCTCTGAGCATCAAAGATCGAATTATGGCTTGCAAGTTACGTGTGGCAGCCAGTATTCTTGAATCAGGTCTTGAAGACCCGGAAGTCGCAATTACTGCCTGCCTGTTGTCACTTGAAGAGCTACATGGTTTACCAGAAATCCAAGAAATGTTCGCAGTTTTTCTCAAGGGAGGACTAAAAACTGAACATTTAGAAAACATAATGTCTGTTTTGTTCATCAATCATGTTTTATATGATTTCGCTTCCAAGTATAGCAGTAAATCTACCAACCCATTTACCTGGCCTGGAATAGAGTTGAAGGATCGTACATTTTATCCAATCCTAAACACACATGAGATTCTGACAAAGACGTCCAGTAGTAAAGAATTTGTGCAGCAACTGAAACGAGTGGTTGTTGATTGGATGGCCTATGATAAATGCTTTGCGGTGAATAGCCGTGGTGAAATTATTCTACTAGATGCAGACAAAATCACGGTTATTTACAGCGCAGGTGAAAGCAAGGATTTTATGCTTCCCGTTCCTACAGAAAGTAACGTTGACCGGTGCCATGGTAGCAGGGATATTGCTGTTGATAGCAATGACAATGTGTACGTTGTACGTACCGAAAAAAATGGCAATAACAAAAGAGATTTTGTGTTGTACGCTCTCGACGAGAATTACAACCTCAAGCACGTCTCCGTATTGGTTGTCCTTCATCCACCTAAGGCATTAGCAGAAGTGAACATTGCTGTTGACAAACACCAAAACGTAATCATGCGCACAAATAAGAGTATCTACGTATATATCTATGAAAATACAGGAAAGTTAAAATCTGAGATTTTTTCAGGAAGTTATAATCACTGGCCGTGGGTATCCAGCTTGTGTATTTCTAACAACAATGACATCATGATAGAATCAGATGATTTCAGCGCTGTTCTAATATACTCAACAAAACGTAAATTAAAATTCACAATAAAAGTACCAGAAGGTCATAACGTCGCGCGGATGGCATTTCATCATGGCATTTGTAAAATAATTGTTTTAACACATGTTGAGAAACAAGATTCCTGGTTCTTGCTCGGTTACTCTGAAACTGGTGAACTGGAGAATTCAGTGTTTTTTAGTAAGCGAGATTCAAACCGATATTGGCGTGATATATATATAAAAAGTCATCCATGTGGACCAATTGCTGTTGGAGTGAGGGGCGAGATCATATTGTTGTAAGTACATAAACGTCTTAGCTCTTCTGCCTGAAACTGAATCTTTAAACTGAAAACCAAGATCCTGCATGACAGCACGGACTAACCCCACAAAGCGAAGTTCAAAAAGAAAACAGACGATCATGAAAAGTTAACAATCTTCTGTTTTGATAAATGTTGAACTGGGATTTTGTCAATTTAACAATTAAACATATATCATAATATAGAACCATATTCAAGTTAATATTAAACAAGTAATGTATCGAACTTATTAACATATACTTCAATTTATAATATCACTTTAGCACAGTTTCATCTTTTGATGGATGTGTTTTAATATTAGTCATATGAGCACAGAATACTATACAGAAGTCCATCTCCACTGTTTTTTGCGTAAGTGCTATTCGTCATGATTCGTCACTCAGCAAGTACTGTAAACAGAAGCAGTCACCCCCCTGGATGTGTGCCATTTTGAATATTTCAAGGGGGGTGACTGCTTCTGTTTACGGTACTTGCCGAGTGACGAATCATGACGAATAGCGCTGACGCAAAAAAAACAATGGAGATAGACTTCTGTATAGTATTCTGTAATATGAGCATCCGTACAGTGTAGAATCTTCAAGAAAAATGAATTTAAAGTTTGTGGGAAATTTGTTTATAACAGTGCAGTTTTTATAAAAATGTTTTATTTAAATATCTTCAAAACAATGAAAGGGTCCAGGTTTAAAACCTTGTGAAACACCACATTGAAACGTTTAAACATTGGACATGTTTTTTCAAGGAAAGATTTTGCAAGTCAATCATGAATAGCGAGCAAAAAATTTCATAAAAAAGTCAAGCTCATACATATTTCTACGTCTGCTATAAACCATTGCAGAAATTTATGTCATGTTTTGTCCATTACAGTCTGTAGAAATAGGCAATTAGATATTTACAGAATGATTGACATATTGACTTGGTACTTTACTAAATGGTCAATCGGATACCTGGCTTCTATAGTGTACGAGAAAAAGTTGCCTCGTTTATAAACATGGCCTATAAACATGGTATTTTTTGTGTGTGTTCGATGTTATGTTGTACTCAGGTGAATATGATGTTTGTGATGTTACTCTGAGTGTGGTGTATTCACACCGGACAGGCTGAAAAGTTTGTCTGACCATGTTGGACTAGTATCTCAAAGGTCACGGGTTCGATTCCCACCGTGGTCAGACAAACTTTTCAGCCTGCCCGATGTATAGATACACACTCAGAGTGACATCAGAAACATCATGGCATATAAAATTTCAGTCTTGAAAAACCTTTGTCTCCAAAAAGTTCTGAATTCTGACTTTATAAACTAAACTAATCCTCGCAATTCTAACCCCAGTCATAATCCAAACTCTAATCGTCAACCCTGATCTTTGTGAACTCATTAACGAAATCCAGCGAGGGTCTGCTTAAAGACTACAATAACAGTTATAACAGTCCAGTGGTTGTTATTGAGATCTTTAATACAATTCCTGAACCCTTTCCCGTCCTGTCAATTCAGTCATTGCATCAGAACTGCACGAATGCACGATCGATGTATGTATTTTTTGCCTGGTCATGTTAGTGACCAGGCACGGATTTTCTGGGGGGGGGGGGCGGTGTGCACCCCTCCAGAAATTATTTGCACCCCCCCCCAGAGGCATTTGGCACCGCCCCCACAAGTTTTTGCACCCCCGCAAATTATATATATTTTGATTTGATAGATTATTCTTACTACTAAATTTGTAAAATTACCAATATTATGGTCTCAGATCTCGCCATGCAGGCCTAGAAAACAAATTTTGTTGAACTTTTTCCTTGGCCTTTCCGGGCATTGCCAGCAGCACCCCCGATATTTATCCACCCCCCCCCGAACAAAAATATGAAAATCCGTCTCTGTGTTAGTCCGCAGTGCAATGCATCTAAAACCAGGGCCGTAGCAACCGGGGGGGGGCTGGGGGGGCTGCAGCCCCCCCAATAATTTGCTAATAATCATTCTTTTTTCAAAATCATGCAAACTTTATCATTTAATCTGTGACAAACTGCAAAGAATGAAGATATTACTCATACTCCAGATCGTTCCTCGCGTAGAAATTTTAGCTGAATTTCTGTCGCGCATTTTCAAGAAAATCCCACAAAATCTGCACATTTTTGATGAACTAATGATTTATTTTGTCTTTTGCGTGTTGGGTCTTGCGAAAGAAAACTCTGAAAATGCCATTTCAGACCATCTAGAGACTCCAGATTTTCGAAATTTTCTCAAATGTTCTGCCTTCATTTCCGCGCAACTGCCATTTACGACGAAAATTCCCGCCGCGCATTTATAATACTACAGTCTGGACCATACTTTCCTGTAAATTTCGACATACTAAAACGCTGTTTTCTGACTATCAGAATTCTGTTAAATCTTCCCCCAAAGTCCAGGAAATGGCATTTTAGAGACTCTAAATTTAAAAATTTCCTCGGCCCTCGCTTTCAGCCCCCCCAATCGAAAAGAGCTTCCTACGGCCCTGAAAACTGAGTATATATCTACCAGTCCTAATGCATCAGTAAATTATCGTTCAGGTTAAACATAACTTTAATTTCTACCATGTATACGAAGGTGATGTAGATTTATAGTTTAATCCTACGGCTTAATGCAGCGAGAAATAGTGGAAAAGTGCTGTATATATTGCTTTCTTGTTGGTTTCATTAATAAAAAAGGACTAAATAAACAAATTTTTGAGATTTGACCAGCCTAAATCGGTCGGTCACATGTCCGGCCATAAAAAGCTTTGATCAGACAAAAGGTAAAATTTGGCCGGACAATGTCCGATGACCGACGCTAATTTGCAGGCCTGGTACAGCCTTTCCCAAGTCTGAAAGCGCGCGCATCGCGAGAAAGGGGACTTTGTTGTGTGCGTTTCTAAATGTGGAGTTTGATGGAACACTGTAGGTTTCCCCAGTTACTCTAGATTCCTACTGCAAAAATAATAGTGGATACTAGACTGACCGTTTTCTGGTTGATCCACCTCATCTACAAGTATTCGAGTGGTCTTTGTTTTCCAGTCGAACTAAATAAAACGCAAGTTTGGTATTATGAAACACAGCCTGTAGAACAAGAATACAATGTTCCCGATTTTCGCACAGTTATAATGGACCATTCCCCAATTAACCAAAATTTTAATCTCAACAAGTCTAGACAAAATTCCATCATAGCATGAAAGAGCATCACATTAGTAATATTCCAAAGTTTCGTTGCGAAATGTTGTAAAATGCGGATAATATAGCCTTGCGAAATTTGCAATTTTCAGTCATTTTAGATTACAAACGGGAAATGGTTACCACTTTTCCAAATGACCAAAATTTTGATCTTAACTAGCCTAAGCAAAAATTTCATCACAGCTTGAAAGAGCATCACAAAATTAGTAATATTGCAAAGTTTCGTTGCGAAATGTTGTAAAATGCGGATAATATAGCCTTGCGAAGTTTGTAATTTCCAGTCATTTTGTATTACGCACAGAACTGGTAACCATTTCCTGTTTGTAATCTAAAATGACTGAAAATTGCAAGACTTGCTGAGTTCAAAATTTTGGTTAATTGGGGGAATGATCCACTATGAAACAAAATTCAGTCTACAGTAAGAGATGAATGCCGACACTAAGATTATTAAAATTGGTCTGGTAGAAGCAAAGTTATGGCTGTTTTAAAATAAAGTCTGGTTCATATACAATGGACCATTGAAATCATGGATCAGTTGTGTGAAGTACAGTACCAATTGATGGGTTTGGTGACCAGGGGCCGGTTGTATAAAAACGTAGTTAGCGCTAACTGTAGTTAAAAAGCCTTAAAAAGTAGTTAACTTTAATCACGTAGTTAAGCCGGTTGTATAAAAGTGTAGTTAGAGTTAACTGTCCAAAACGTAGTTAAAAATGGCGTTTGTATAGGAGTGGACAACATTTTTTAGTAAAACAATAATGAAAAGCAACGCTTACCTGAGATTTTCAATCGCAATCTTCCCTGTGAATGTTTCCTGACAATATAAACTCTTCAAATGCTATCGCTTTGGTGTTTTTACGAAAACAGAACATATTTTTGCACAGGAGGATTTCTCGAAGAAGAAGTATGGTCCATTACACCAAGAAACACTGATATATAATTGCCAAACAGCTATGCCTTGGTTTAACGTAGACATCTCAAGGAAAAACTGCATTCTTTTATGATTTTTGTGGCGGTTTTTCTTTATTTTTTGGGTTTTTTTTCACTGTTTTCTAGTGTTTTGAATAAAATTCCCGCCTATTTGCAAAATATGAGTCCACAATCGTGTTGAAGATGTGTGTCAGCGGTCGTTACTCGCTGCTTACTTTATGTAATTTTGTGTTTAAACGCCCCACGCAAGCCCCACGCACAGTTAACTACGTGATTAGTTAACTATCCGACTAACTACGTTTTGTGCAACGCAGTTAAGTCATGTAGTTAACTAATTACAGTTAAGGATTTAACTACAGTGATTAACGCTAACTACAGTTAGCGCTAATTACGTTTTTATACAACCGGCCCCAGAGTGTCTTCACATTAGAACTGGACAAGTTAGTCGTCTAGACGAACAAATCGTCCCTCAAAAATCGTCCCTCAAAAATCGTCTCTCAAAAATCGTCTTCACAGACGGACAAGTAGTCGAACAAATTCAGACGACTTGTTCGTCTAAAATTTTGTCCAACAAGTTTTCACATCCGATGACTTGTCCGACTAAAAGACGATTTTAAGACGATTTGTTCGTCTTCTAATGTGAAAACGGCTCAAAAATAATGAGCTGTGTAAAAAAAGCTATTCTACTTGCTGTCAGGACGCCTTGTATATTATATAACGCATAACTTCATGATTTTCATACCATTAATATCTTTTTACAACAGAAATGAGGGCCATATAGCATTCTGGATACATAAATCTAAATAAAAATATTCTGAATTAAAACAACTAGCAAGACAGCAGTCTATGTAACAGTCACGATGTAATAACATCTAAAGATTTTATTTTAATACAGTGGCATACAAGTTTGTTTCCATCTGGTGATAATCTGGGAAAGCTAACTGATTCCGTTCCATCACTCAACATTTCTACAAAAAGAAGAAAATATAATAATATATAAATCTAAAACTCATTAATATAATTCATGAAGAAAGTTCGTAAAAAATCAATGTTTAATGAGGTGTTCAATTCACATATACAAATTTGTCTTGATCAACGCCCATAAACTAACCTAACTATCGTCTTGAATTTCTCTTTAAAAACAAGTCTGTTTGAGAAGTACACGCGTAAAAATCTCCCACCTTGTAACAAGTCTGCCAACAAGCCGTCAACAAGTTGTGTTCGCACTGCTTGTCCCAAGTTGTCAACAAGTTTGGAACAACTTGTAACAACCTTGTCTCATCAAGATTGTTACAAGTTGTTAACAGCTTGTTCCAAACTTGCTACAACAACTGGGAACAAGCATTGCGAACACAACTTGTCAACAGCTTGTGAACATAGATTGGTAATAACTTGTTTGCAGACCTGTAACAACTTCTGCGTTTTTACGTGCGTAGTCGCACTTAAAAACTGTTTATTTATCAGCGTATAAAACACCCCAAAATTTGTGGAAAAAGCTCGGATAGCAATTCGTTTTTTAACACGTTTTTTTGGTCAATTTATATTTTTATACCCTGGTAATTTATCCCTATCTTAATGCATCATTCCATCGCGTTTCTGGTTTAAAATCCCCATGATATATTGTCAATATTACGTTATTTCATGCGTATTATTCGTTATAATTTCAAAGTGTTCAATAAATATGACGTTTATACACGAACCGCAAGATTTTCCATCCAGAGATAAGTAGTAAATGCCACTCCTAGAAAACAATAAATGTGGTTAGATTTTTTAGGAAGCCAAAAATATTTATTTCACTCATATTTTTTTAAGTTCTTACTTTCTATTATGACAATATTTTAAGCCCAATCTGTAGGGTTCATGATCTCGGCCACAGAATATAACCCCATTACCATCAGATGCCCAAATTGCCTAAATAAAAAACTAAAAAGATTACTACGTCTATTTTTTTCGCAAAGGGCGGTGGGTTATACATGTAAAAATCTCACAACTTGTCCACAAAATGTGTTCGCAACAGGCTTGTAGCACGCTTGTCAACAAGTTGTAACAATGCTGTTATTTTATGAAGTTGCTACAAGGTTGTCACTCACAACTTGTTGACAAATTGTTGAATTGCAGAACGATAACAAGTTGTTGGAACAACTTGTAACAAGTCTGTTGAGTTCAACAACCTTGTAGCAAGTTGTCAACAAGCTGGGAACAAGCAGTGAGAACACATCCTGCTGACAGTAGTTGATTGACCTTTGTGCATGATTGCGTGTTCACTCCACACTCGATGTATCTTCAGTAAATACCGTCGAGTGTTCACAGCATAGAAATAATAGATACCTATTATTCCTATGGTTTACAGCAAAGATGAAACAAGTTGTGTTCGCACTGCTTGTTCCCAGATGTTGTAACAAGTTTGCTACAAACTGATAACAGCTTATGCCAAGCTTGATGGCATTATCAGACTTGTTACAAGGTTGTTCTAACAAGTCTGATACAGTCATGATATAACAAGAATGTTACAAGGTTGACGATACAAGGTTGTAACAATATTGTTGCATCATGACTGTATCAGACTTGTTGGAACAACCTTGCTACAAGTCTGATAATATCAACAAGCTTGTTACAAGCTGTTGACAACTTGTATACAATATTGTTATATTATGACTGCATCAGACTTGTTGGAACAACCTTGCTACAAGTCTGATAATATCAACAAGCTTGTTACAAGCTGTTTAAACAAGTTGTATACAATATTGTTATATCATGACTGCATCAGACTTGTTGGAACAACCTTGCTACAAGTCTGATAATATCAACAAGCTTGTTACAAGCTGTTAAGAAGTTGTTGCATACTTGTTGACAACTTGGGACAAGCAGTGCGAACACAACTTGTTGACAGCTTGTTGGCAGACTTGCCACAAGATGTGAGGTTTTTGTGTGTGTAATTGTCAACTGCAGATTCTATGTTCGTTATCCTCATTACCTGGCCTGGCGAGATATTGTCAGGTATTCCATCTAACACTTTGACTTCATCTTTTTCTGTATCCAAGACAACCAACACTGTCACGTGGACGCCAACCAGTTGCTCTCCCCAGTCTTCTTTGAACAC